GAGCTCGCAGCCCTTTGATTATAAATGTTTCTCCTACATCTAAATATATTTTAGTGTTATCTGAGTGTATGGCCTCAAAGAATATATTATCACGTGAGCACGATCTGTTTCTTTTAAAATTAGTCAATTTTAACGGTATTATTCTTTTTTTTCTATATACCGTAAATTTGACTGATTTTTAAACCAGCAGATTATATTAAATTAAGATTATATTATTAAAAACCACTCGATCGGATAATACGAAAGAATATTCAATCCATAGCTATGTAACGAAGTTGAAAAATATTAAACTTACCAATAAACATGTTTCAAAAATATTTATATAAATGACATACCCTGACCTTGAACCCAGACTAAATATGAAAGGCATCTGTCCTTAAATATGGGTAAAATTGTAAAAAATTATTTTTAGCAATTGTGACCTTGACCCAACTAACGGACAATTAAGAAAGAAACTAATCTATTTATAGAGGCTACCCGGGCCCATTTTTATCAAGGCATGTCAATATCAAAATGTTTCTAAATGTTTGTAGTTTCCACGTTACCGACATAAATTGGCATAGATGGTTGCCAATGGAGAAATTCAAGATGGCGTCCAAAATTGGCCGTGGAAATTATAAAAAGATTCATGTACAGATGGCGTCCAAGAGCCCTTGAAAATTATGAAATTATTCCTGTACAGAATTACTGTCAGAAATGTAGTTTTGGCTAAAGTTTTGTGTATGGTCAAAAGTGTTGTGCATTTGCAAAAGCAGAAGAATGTGACGAAAAAGGTTGAAAAAATGATAATAATTACAAACGTCCCTCTCATGTCCCATGTTTTTCGAGCAATAGGTCACATATGCAAAATGTATTTTTTTGTTTGGACACAAAACTTTTTACATAAGTAAAATGTCGCTGAGTGTTTCCATTCTTTTCCAAGTGACATTACAAAACGGAACGCAATATTAAGATAATATTTTATTTATTAACACAATACGTTATTATCCTACAATTTTGCGGAATTCTAGAGATCAGATATTATTTTTTGAATAAATCTAATTTTGAATATAGCAATCAATTCTACTTGGCACAAAATATCAGTCTTAGATCTTAGGTACACGTATTACTGATTTGGCATACCATATTGGATTTTCATCAAATTTAGATATTGGAAAATATCTTTGATCATTTTCATACAAGAAATGAAAACAAACTTCTTGTTTAAAACCTAATTAGCTTCAATTTAATTATTCTATGTTTGCTAATTGATCATCTATGTCCCGAATTATTGTTAACAACAACGACAACATATTTCCTCATCAAATTTAACTTTCATTTTCTCAGATGTTAAAGCGTTACATTTGTCAACATGGTGTGCAATAAAGATCTACCATGACCCCTTGTTTTAGAATTTTACTGCAATAAGATTTCTTTTCAACTATTTCAAAAAGTTGACAGTTTATTGTATTCAAAATCTGTGGTGAGAAAGTGGTGATATTTTTAATTTGATTGTTTTCTTTGCCTTATATTCTAATTTCAAAGTGTGTTATGTACCTAACCTTTACCCCACAATCCTGGCAGGGACTTTGGATTCTTACATACGAAAAAACTATTCAGCTAGCTTAGTGAACGTTAGTGGTTCTACTCAGGTGCCCGTTCGTGCCTGAAATAATGCTCAGAAGGGCACCTAAGGTCTTCCTCCACCAGCAAAGCTGGAACCTCGCTACATGACATATACGGTGTCGGTGTGACGTAAAAAATCAAACAAACAAATAAATATATCCAACCTACTTAGTTACCCAAAACATCGGGAAATATATGTAAAACACGTCAAAGCAAACGTATATGTTTGACTAAGTTTTCATATTTACAGAAAGAATACGCAAGACATACATTATATGATTGCACAAGTTAAATGTTGATGCTGCACATCAAAGACGCCGCCAAATGATATGAACAGTCACAGGCTATGTACAAAATCAGAATTGAAAATCGTTCTCTATTACAGTTGAATATCTGAAGCACTAATTAATTTTTTCTCCATGTTCTTGGTATGTGTCTGAAATTCTAAAATGATTGTCTGTTGCCTGATAAATTGAAAGGTCTGGTCGAAGCAAAATAAATTGGATAAAAAGTGAAATTGAAATGATTGGTAAACTTAAAATAAATTCAAGACATTATGTGCCGAGAATATGTCCATTTAAATATTGGTGCGAATTGCATAATGTTCGAATGATTTTGAGGACGAACTGTCTGTTATTTTACAAATAGCGGAAATATGTCTGTAATATTTAAATAATAATTATGAATAAATTGATATATATATATATATATATATATATATATATATATATATATATATAATCAATTCTTTGTAACGTATTGTTTATTTATTTATAAAAGATTAAACTACTTGAATAAACAAAAGATTGCATATTCGCCTAGAATCTAGGTATGGGACCACAAAATGTAATAAAATATCTAGGCAAAAGAAAACAATCGTCGGTCAAAATAACCTATTGCAAATATTTGTGATACGTTTTAAAATAAGCTTACTTTTTTCATTCAGTTAATCTGTTTTATAATTTAAATGTTGATTATTTAAATGAATTACATGTCTCACATGTTTTGTCTGTTTTGCAAAAAATATTTCCGCTGCGCCAGATTAATCTCCGTATTTTAGTGACACTTCTTTATTTGGTTCCCGTTATTAGACTTTAGACGGGTTTGTGTTGAGCTAAGGGTTGAGGGAGAACCGCATCTCTGATAGTGGGCGTGGTTTAGGCTTTGTAACTTGTAATTTAATAATTCGTCAAGTTATATTGATCATAATTGTCCTGGTTCCCTCCCCCCCCACCCCCCCCCACCCCATCAACGAAGACTTAATGCTAGCATATTGAATTTGGCGACAATTTAAGACAGAGACGAACTTCAACAGAGACGGTGCAAATGAAGTGAGTGACACTGCTTCAGTCGTTCCCTCTCTCAGAACGATCGACTGTAGACTGGCTCATTGGCACGTTATTTATTAGGTAGATAAAATTAGATAATTATAAAAAGAATATGATATTCAAACATGACACTATAACTTCAGTTAAACGTTTATTTTAATCCCTTAAAGCTCTGTGACATCTTGTACATAAAAAGCTTTTTTATTAGAAAATTCGAAAACAATGTGATTTTGTTAAAACAAAAAAAACCGACAAAATCAAGTCTAAAATGTTCCCCATAGCTATACGGATAAATGCATATCTACTAGACGGCGCGTGCACTTTAAACGAATGGATATGCAAATAAATTATCTAAACATAGATTAATGTGGTTGACTTGAAACATTTTTTTCCATCCTTTTTACTTTTTACAAGTCTGTCATATTCTATTCAAAAGATACTGATTGTTATTACAAATAATAGATAAAAGTCTTGCAAGTAGATTAAACTAACAAAAATTACAATTGAAAAAAATAAAGGTTTAAAAAAAGAATATAACTTACTATGCACATTTGTTACGAAAAGCATTGTTTCTTATAGTATAAACCATTGTATATCAGTTAATTGTCAATTGAATATAAACATGGTAAAATCCGGACATCTTTGAAAATTAGAATTTTTGTCTTTTTTGTCTGTTACATTAAAAATAGGTACTAAAATTGTATGTGTCACGTGTATTTGATCCAAAAATGCATGCAAATAATGAATGCATTTGTTTGTACTGCCTAAGATTAAAGTAATAGAAAGTAATTTGTATTTTCATAAAGTTGGCGGCCATTCTGGACGCCATCTTAAATTTCTCTGTTTGCCACCATGTACGCCGACAGTTTTGGAAACGGTAAATATATTGGAACATTTTGGTATATGGCACATCTTAAAAAACGGGTCTGGTGGTTTCAGAGAGGTTTCCGAGAGGCTTGATTGTCACCCTACTATAACTCGTTCCGAACAACTTATTATTATACCAAATATGAAAAACGTCAGTCCAACAAGTTATATGAAAAATCCTATAATGCATAACAAAGCAACAGCGGACAAGAATGTGTTTCTTCAAATCTTTCTTGTGGGAATGAGTACATGTACTTAAAACTATATGTGTGAGGTAGGGACAAGGGTCTTGAACGCGACATGTCAGACATTTATTTTAAAATCCTTCAATGCATGACAAAGTTACGGTCCGAAAACAAATGCGAACCTTCAACTTCTAAGTGTGACTTTTGACCTTTAAGGTAGTGACATGGTCCTTAGACGCGACACGTCGTTTTTATGTAGCGCAAGTTTGTGTTAAATTATTTTAAAATCCGTCAATGCATGGCAAAGTTACAGTGTACGTTCATACTCTACTTGTGAGAGAAATAGTACCTTAAACTATGAATATGACTTTGACCTTTGAGGTAGGGACATCGCTCTTTAAGGCGACATGTAGAAATGTATGCTAGGTTATATAGAAATCTTTTCATGCATGACCAAATTACAATTCGGGCACGGATGACTTAAGACTCCAATTGTGACAATGTGAACCTTCAAACTGTGTGATCGTGACCTTTGAGATAGCGACATGGATCTTAAACGCAACACATCACTATGATGTGGCAGACATTTGTGCCAAGTTATTTGAAAATCCTTCAATGCATGAAAAAGTTACAGTGTACGTTCAAACTCTCCTTGTGAGAAATAGTACCTTAAACTATGAATATGACTTTTGACCTTTGAGGTAGGGACATCGGTCTTTAAGGCGACATGTAGAAATGTATGCTAGGTTATATAGAAATCTTTTCACGCATGACCAAATTACAATTCGGGCACGGATGACTTAAGACTCCAATTGTGACAATGTGAACCTTCAAACTGTGTGATCGTGACCTTTGAGATAGCGACATGGATCTTAAACGCAACACATCACTATGATGTGGCAGACATTTGTGCCAAGTTATTTGAAAATCCTTCAATGCATGAAAAAGTTACAGTCCGGACATGAATGTTGTGTGAGGATGCACAGAAAAAATCAGTAAAGTGAAATATGCCTACCTTTAATTTTTGAAGTTGTGTCTGGTGCTTGATATTGTTCTACCATTTCGTCTTTACTTTCAGCCGTCTGTAACTTTTCTGTTACTGTCTGTTTTCGTTTTTTATGAAGAGGGCCATATCGAATGTCATGGATCGTCTGTTCGAAGTCTGCGATGGGATACACCTTGTTAATTCTTAGAAGAGCCTACAAGTATATGCGATATAGTCCTTACTTTAATGATAACGTTTGTCTATATCGTTAATGTATTTAATTTATTATAATATTTTATTGAACTACAAGTACACTTAAAGCAGCACAGCTACAAATTTATGCTGTGGTCACAAAGTTTTCCATAAAAACTTGAAATTGTATTTATAACCATTTGATATAAGTAAACAGTAAATAGTCAATCGTTATTTTCAATGGGTGAAATTTATACAATTTATTTATTATACGACTTGTATTAATTACATGAAAGGACAAGTAACTCTTTCACAGACTGACTGATAAAGGATATACATGTAGTTACATATATATTTCCTTTATTTCACTTTATTTTAACTTAACTTAATTGCTTTTCAACCTTCAGTTTTACTGTTTGGTCAACCAACATTATAGAAATATAATAAACAGCGGAAAGAAATGCAGGAAAAAAAACTGGCTCCATACTGATGGGAAAAATTCGTTGTTACTTGTTTCAGCAATGTTAGGAAAAGTATCAGACATGCTCAGTAAAATAAATTTAAAGTTTGTGTGATAATAAATAGTTTACCATTTCAACTTGCTCCCACATATGTATAAATTCATCTTGTTGGATGCTTGATTTATGGAAAATCTGAAGAAAAAGATTGTCATTGGTTGATAGAAAATCTATTGAATTTTTGTTTCACAGTGCATATAACTATAACTTAAATATATCGCGTACGAATTCACAGGATTTCAACGAGTCAATATTTCGTCCTAATTTGATAACTAACAATTATAACGTTAAAACTTTTCTTACATCACAAAGACTCATACGAATATTGCCCTAATTTTACATGATTACTGGCATTTTTATTACAACATTTAATTCAGACATTTATTATAAAAGATGTGCTGCCTAAATTTTGCTCAGTTTAACATTATATTTGAAAATACACAAATAGAAAACTTTTCTAAACTTACTACATTCCTGAAATTCTTCAGCCTACAAATATCTGCCTCAATGGAAGTATCACTTTCTCCTGGTAAAATGTTCCAATTAAATTTTTTATTCAAATTGAAACATTTTAGGTTTCTAATGAGACAAATGATAATCTTGATGTCCAAATCAGAAGTGGATACAGTGCCACTCGATGGATACAATAAATTATATTGCTCAAGTGTTATTATCCCAGAACCATTTAACCTGTTGATAGTTGGCTTTTCATTAGCAAGACATGTACTGATAGTAGTGGATTGAGCTGAAAGGGTTTGATCAATGTAATTTACTAAAACTGTATGTCCGCAATTAAGAATAAGCATGTGTAAACGGAATAAGAGATCAAGATTGTCTGATGCCTCTGCCGAAGATGATGTACCAGGTGGAACAGCCGCCATGACCGAACAAAATAATCAATTCACTCTTCTCTATATAGGTGTCAGACCTGTAAATGAGATGCATTATTGATATTAAAACACGACTATATTGTATGTAATAAATCCAATAACGGCTGAGAAGGACAGGTGCAGTATAAGTAAGATCTATGTACGGTATATTATCAATTTTTGTCCTGTTTCTGACGTCTATTAACGACTTTCAAACTTGTTGATGACATCTTTATTTTCAATAACATTAATACCGGTATTTCCATCATTAAATATACTAATTCTAGAGCCCCTTTGCTCATCAGACACAGAATATATTATCAGTTATAAAGATTTTTGACAGGTTATATGGCTATATATAAAAGGTTGCTCGGCAATATGAGCAGATCAGCTGCCGCTGGGCCAGGTTTATATTGCAAAGAATCGTTTATATCCGACCTTATAACCTGATAGGATATTTCAATTAAAACCAACTTTTTTAAAGAAAAGAAATAAGATTTCTTCATAAATTGACAGCAGCCGTGTAGATAAAACTATGAAATTCTGCACGTTTGTAACGTTAACCGTTTGTAACTTCGTGACGTTTAAATACTGAATTCATGAAGTTGAAATCCTGAATTCACGAAGTTGAATTCGAGATGTTGAAATCGTAAATTCGTGATGTTGAAATCGTGAATTCATGAAGTTGAAATCGTTTATTCGCGAAGTTGAAATCTTGAATTCATGAAGTTGAATTCGTGAAGTTGAAATCGTGAATTCGTAATGCTGAAATCGTGAATTCATGAAGTTGAAATCGTGAATTCGCGAAGTTGAAATCTTGAATTCATAAAGTTGAAATCATGAATTAATTCGTGAAGTTGAAATCGGGAATTCATGAAGCAGAAATCGTGAATTCGTGAATTCCGTATGATGCAAACGGGAAATCACGCAGTTTGAGTTGTGAATTCATGAAAATGAAAAAGTTGAAATGGCCGTACCGGTCTGTTGTACAGCTCTTTTGTAGATGTTTGGTTAATTGCTTCTTTTCGTTTTTATTATTTCCCTTGATTAACTGAAGCTATTAAAATTGCGCATTGGTTTCACTGAAGTATTTGTAGAACCACAACAGTAGAAGAATTTTGTAGACATGCAAAGATGAAATCAAAATTATGAGGGGAAACAAATAAACAGTAATCATTGATTATGAAAATATGTATTTTTTACTGTACTTTCCCAATATGTTTAAATCCCAATATTTCTGGACAGGAACACGAAATATGAAATATGCATGGAAATCAAGCTTTTTTAACTTTATTTATTTCCCTTTCCACCTTCAGAAAGCAAGTTATTTCAAGTGTTTAATATGTTGACAACAGAGACGAATAATGTTCAAAGTTTGTATGTTAGGCATGAGTCAAGTCAATTGATCTATTCAGTAAATAAAGACCACCGGCCCAAAATACAAATTAAACAAAATGTAATACATGTATTTAGCATTTATTAGATTGTCAATGTCAAATCCATGATTAAGTTCTTATAACATTAAATTATATACTGTGCTATAGAGATCATGAGGTGGTTAAAATGAGCAAAAGTTTTCTTATTTTTTTTACAAAATTATAATTTGATGAAAGTAATTCATAGAAGTTATTTAATTCAATTCAGTTTCGGAATTATATATACCAATTTAGTAAAAAGGTAATTTCAATTTCTAAATATTTGCTACAATAAAAAAAGAAAGATATTAATAATCTGTGTGAAATATTAAAAGATTTTCGAGACAAAAGTTTAAAAACCGTTCTTGAAAAGGTATACATGTATTAAAATGCCTATCTATTTCAACATTAAGTTTTGGATGTGAGCACCGAAAGTTTGCATAAGCTTTGTTATGCTTTGCAGGGGTTTCTATTGAAAGATCAACTTCTTTTGAGATTACTTTAATGTTGACATCTTCCTGCATTATCAATTTCATCATGCCAAGTCCACAATCTGTTAAGCGCTCTATAAAATTATTTTTTTTAAATATCCAGGTACAACCAAATCTATAACTGTTCAAAAGTATTTATATTTGCTTGTCCAACAAGTCCTACCAGCTTCATCTAGTGATTTTAACATTATATAATATTTTTTAGGAAACGACATGGTGGCAATACTTATAAATTGCACCAATATCGAATGCAATTTGTATAATAAGCGATAAGTAATATAAAGTGGCAGTCTACCACATTCTCCTAACACCATATTCGTATTTGAATATTAATAGTAGTAGCGATTTTCTTTAACATTTAATAAACCCTAACAGAGCATATTATGAACAGTTTCTATAGTTGGACTTATTTCATAACCCCAAAACTGTAAGCCATAACAAAGAATGGGTTTGATCATTGAATGTGTTCATTTATGGGATAATTGCTAAACGATTTCTGATTATTTTTGACGGCAAAAAGTGCTCTTCGGGCTTGTGAAGTCAATTAATCATGAGCTACATTCCATGATAGTTGTGAAGTAAATAACAAACCCATATGTTTATAATCATCAGCTGTATCTTATACAACATGAACTGATGCAAATGTTAATTATTTAGACAATACAACACATGCTTAAAGCCAATATCTGATTATTCTATCACATAATAAACAGTTCAGAGAGTTGAACTTATTGCTATGTGCATTTATGGGTATACAATATAACTCTCGCACATTTTTAATAGAAAGGTCTCTAAACTATGATACAATATTACAGTTTAGAGTTAACAAATT